TTTTTTTTGGTGAGGAAGATCAGCCCTGAGCTAACATCCATGCCAATCCTCCTCTTTTTGCTGAGGAAGACCGGCCCTGAGCTAACATCTTTTGCCAATCCTCCTCCTTTTTTTTTTTTTCCCTTTTTCTCCCCAAAGCCCCAGTAGATAGTTGTATGTCAGTTACATATCCTTCTAGTTGCTGTATGTGGGATGCTGCCTCAGCATGGCCGGACAAGCGGTGCATCGGTGCGCGCCCTGGATCCAAACCCAGGCCACCAGCAGCGGAGCGCGCACACTTAACCGCTAAGCCACGGGGCCAGCCCTTGTTTGTATACATTTAAAAAAAATTTAGGCCAACATTTTAAACCTGGGAGATTTTACACAATAATCTCGATTTCTAGCTTCTCTTTAAAAACTGGAAGATGGGGCAAAAATCAGCTGGAGCTGAGTCAAGAGTTAGATAAGTCTCTAGTAACTAGAGACTTGGTGTCTAGTTCAACACAGTCCTGATCACTCTTTTTTTAGGCACTGGAGTTTTTGACCCTGGCCCATCAGAGTTGCTTAGCACGGTACATCCAATCCTTGCTGACCTCTCCAGCTCTAGCTCCCCTCACTCACACTTGTGAACTTTACACTACAACAATACCTGCACACTGAACTACTTATATTTTCCCCAAACACACCATACTGTTCTTACCTCTCTGCCTTTTTGTGTACGTTCTTCCCTTGGCCTAGAATGCCAGTCCCCTCCTGAACTCCAGGCTAAATTCTATTCAATCTTTAAAACTCTGCTCAGATATCATCTCTAGGAAACATTCCAAGGCTCCTCATTATCTCTGCATCTTGTGCATTTTTTAATTGTTGCACTTACACTTCGTAGTACATGTCCTACTTATTTGCGTAAATGTCAGCCTCCAGCACTAGAGTGAACTCCTTAAAAACAGAATCTCTATCATTTACAGTGTCTGCCACATAATAGCCATTCAACTCATGTTTGATGAATGAGTAGTTGAAAAAATGAGATAATGAATGACATATGGGGAACCAGAGCCGATGAGGTTAGGGAGGGGTGGAGCTCCCAGTAACTCACATAGATTTCCATTTTTCGGTAGAGACCATAGTTAAGTAGCAAATTGTGGGTCATGCGGATTCGGTGAGGCTTCATTGGGTGGCCTTGTCCATAATAGTAATTTCCAACATCCCCTGAAGAAGAAAGAGTGACAGTTTCAGTGACACAGTTAGACACATACTCCCAGGAGAACCCAGGAATTTTAAACCAAACTCCTAGGCAGTCTCTTTCTAATTCATTCTAGTCTCCGAGATTCTCACCCACCTTGAGGAAGGGTAACTCCAAAAGAAAAAAAAAAAAGCAGGGGACCCTGGTAAGGCCAACGCTTAAAGGATGTCAGTGTAGCCCAGTTTCTTCCCCTGGAACCCACAGGCACTACACAGTATGAGGGGTTCACTCCAAAGCTACTGGGGAACAGGCGCTTGCTTTTCTCTCTCCCCTCTCTCTCTCTGCTTTAGACCAGAGTAAGCAAACTGGCCCTTGGGCCAAATACAATTGGCTGCCTGTTTTTTGTAAATAAAATTTTACTGGAACACAGCCATGCTGGTTAGTTTATATATCCTCAGATGGCTGCTTTCACATTATAATGGTAGAGTTGAGTAGTTAAACAGTTGCCACACAGACCCACCCATATGGCAAGCAAAGCCTAAAATATTTACTATCAAAGTCTCAACAGAAAGTTTGCCAATCTCTGCTCTAAACACACTAGATTATTATCAGCATCCTGAACATGGCATTCACCTTCACACCAAAGTATCCTTTGATCAGACTGTTCCTTTGACCTGGAACGTCCCTTCTCTGATGATCCTCATATGACAAAGCCCAGCTCAAGCTCCAAACATATTCCTGATCAGAATAAACGGTCTTTTCCTCCGCATGCAATTTGGATATGGCACTTAATTTTGTTTTGTATCTGAATTATTTACATATCTATTTATATCCACAAGACTGGGTGCTCCTTGAAGACAAGGACCAGTATGCCTTGTACATCATAGAGGCTCAATAAAGATTCAAGGAATTGAACTGCGACTCAGAGAAGCTAAGTGCCTGCTGAAGATCACACAGCTAATGAGTGATCCAGGAGTCAACTCTTCTGACTCCAAATCCAGTATGCTAAAAGCTACAATGGATTTCCCAGGTACCTACTTCGGTTTGCACTTAATCTAGAGGGCTCTGTGAGTCTACTTGGTAGAAAGTTCCCAGAACAATATTTCAAAATTGAGTGAACTGCACACCCAAAGATTCTCCTTAGAATTCCATCAGGATGAGGCAGATCTTTCAGCACCAGTGAAAAAAAATGTCCCAACCTCTTATGCATTGTGGTTTGGTGGCGCCAGAAACAGGCGGCTTCGTTCCAGGGAGCAATGCACTGTGGGGAATGCCACCAACAGCATCCAAGCCACACTCCAATTCTCTTTGTCAAAGACATGGCCTGGGATAATGGGAAACTTCTAAACAGTTGGATGTTTAGGATCTCATCCTCTTCTCTCTCTCTTTTTAAACAGACTTTATTTTTAGAACAATTTCAGATTTACAGAAAAATTGCAAAGATAGTACGGAGAGTTCTCAAATACCCCACCCCCCATTTTCCCCTATTATCAACATTTTACATTAGTAAAATGAGAAGTATCTGTCCCAATCAATAAGCCAATATTGATACATTATCATTAGCTAAAAGTCCATGCTTCATTCAGATTTCCTTGATTTTTACCTAATATCTTTTCATTGTCTATCTTAGTGAGGCCTCTGAGAGCAGGGACTGTGCTCTCAGCAAGGGCCACAAGCCAGAGTACAGCACGTAGTGGCACTCAATAGGGACCCTGTCACACAAAGACACAGACTTTGACATGCAGTAGCAGGGGAGGCAGGCAGAAGAGTTTGTTCCCAGGGCCCCTCAGACAACCTTATCAGCCATGGGGAAGGGTAGAATAGGTTCTCAAGGCATTGGCTGAGACATCTAGATGCAGACCCAATTTGTGGGCAGTCAGTAGTCACGTGGCCATTACTATGTTATATAATGGATTCCTGCTTACCCACATCTCTGGCATGCACCTTGATCCCTAGCAACTCCCTTGCCTTATCAAAAGTGGATCCAGGCCGGCCCTGTGGTTTGGTGGTTAAGTGCGCGCGCTGCGATGCTGGTGGCCCGGGTTCGGATCCCGGGTGCGCATCGAGGCACCACTTCTCCGTCCATCCTGAGGCCGAGTCCC